GCTGGCTTATCAGCATGAAGGACTATAAATCTGCCAATACTTGAAATATTTATTGACAACACATTCACAGTGTGAACTTTGAATATATATATATTTTATCAGGAAAATATGCATGTTTTATCAGGAAAAAAATATATTATTTCCACCATATAGATTGAGTACCATTTTAATATTTTAAATTGCAGGCAATGTTACATGATTCAAGAAGGGCTTACATTTAGGTAAAAAGTAGTGTGCAACTAAGTTGTTCGTTTTTATGGTGTTATATACAGTTATTAAAAACTATACTGTACATTCTAATGTGCTTGATACTTAAAGACATGTCCAATTTATTGGAATATTTTATAAAATATGTTATACATGGGAAATATGGTAGTTTTAATCATTCAATTTTGGGTACATAATTTCTTGGACATGTCCAACACACAATGAATATTTTTGCTCTGTTTTTCCGGCCTATATCTTTGGCCATTTTCTGAATTGGAAAAATGGCGTTGTGGCTAGCACTGCCTAGGTTTCTTCAGGATGACTGCATATGCATTCCATTCCTTGATAACCCATCTTTTTATCCAAAGGATATTTAAGTTGCTTAATTCAGCTCCCCTAAACATATTTCAAGGGGAAAAAATTATTTAATACAATGTTATTTCAACAGAATGTTTGAGTTCAGTGTTTATCCTAAATTGTAATACAGATAGTCCTCAACTTATAACCATTCATTTAGCAACCATTCAAAGTTACAGCAGCGCTGGAAAGAGTGACTTACGACCAGTCCTCACACTTATAACTATTGCAGCATTCCTTGTGGTCACAAGATCAAAAGCCAGGTACTTGGCAATTGGCATGTATTTACACCAGTTGCAGTGTCCCGTGTGAACACCGTTTGTGATCTTCCCAGTCAGCTTCCCACATAAGGACGGATTATCTTAACAACTGCAGTTAACACTGTAGTAAAAAAAAGGTTGTAAAATCAGATGTGACTCACTTAACCACCTTAACAACGGAAATTCTGGTCCCAATTATGGTCATAAGTCAAGGACTACCCATATTTTTATTGTGAACTTAGTCAAGAAAATGTGAAAACATTTTCTACAGATATACAATAGCTGAGCAGTGCAAAAGCTTTTGCCCAGTGCAAAAGCTATGGCAGGAAAAATTGATGCAACAGAAAAGGACAACCTAACTGCTTTGCTGGGTTCTTCGATCAAAGCATATGCAAAAACAAATTCCTTCAATTTTGAAGTATCTAATTTTCTTTGATAGAATATTTTAGCATGATTTTGAATATTAGAATATATTATCTGTTAGATACATGAGTCAGTTTGAAACCACTGGATGTAATCATGGCTCTAAATGGGATTACCTCATCCATGTACATATTTATTTGAAAATGTATACCTGTCTATCAGAACTACATTTTTTCCTGCTGAAACATTTTTTTTCCTCCGTTAAACCCTATTATTCCATTCACTTTCTGAGTATATTCTTGACAACAAAAATGTAGTGGTTACAGTAAGTCAGCATGCTAGAAAGTGGGAGACTGTGACGGCTGGGTGACCTTGGGCCAGTCACTCTTTCTCAGTCCAAGTGAGTTGCAGGGAAAATAAATAGCAAGGTTATTGTAGGGAAAATAGGAAGAAAATGCATTGGATGTTTGCTGCCTTGAGTTATTTGTAAAAATAATACAGGTGGGATATAAATAAATGAAATAAACCCTTAATCCTATGTTTAATATATAATTATTTAAATACTTCAAAGTGACTGTTTACCAGGACATGTTTATGTATTTTAATTCCAATCTGAAAAAGGTACAGCTATTTTTTGAGTAACATTTTGGATCTGTAAGAAGCTACACCAAATGGATAGTAGGTTTATTTAATGAGAATTCTGTGTAGCGGTTCTTCATATTAAATATTTCTGCATTTTTAAATATACTTGACTTAAATCCATTGACCCTAATGGCACTTTGAAATGGAAATGCATATAGGTGTTTTGATTCAGAATGGTACAAAATATGGTTTTTGGTGATATTTGACTGAGATCTGATCTTCTAGAAGCTTTTCGATAAGAAATTTATTATGGCGTGTATTTGTACTTGCACCAATTTACCCACTTCAGATTGACTACAAAACGTTTGGTAAACAATGCATAAAAATTATGAAGATTATAGGAAAATAAGGATTAAACTGTGTATTGAGTATTTTTGTCTACTGCTGGAACTGTCAGCTCAGAATATTCAATGTTGCAGTTTATTTTGATGTTTTAATCCAAGTAATTTTGTAGGATAGTAGGAATGTGTGCATTTGTTTTCCATTTCATGTTTTTAAAATAAATTTATAAATTGTGTGTGTGTGTATTCTTAAAAACTGAGATTTAGAAAAATAGGAAAAAAATGGATGCTGAGGTCCCAGACATTTCAGGATTTAAAGATGTGTTTAAAGTTTATAGATCGCCTCCATTCATGGCAACATTAGTTAAGCCTATTCTAGATATTTAAGATCTTTTGATTTCCAGATTGGTAGAGGTAGAAGGGGAAAAAATAGTATTTTTACTGTGCTTTACACCTCTATTTTTTCCTGCTCTTGTGAGTTAGATTAGATTGCATTTAATACATGGGATATTGTACAAAAGAATGCTTTGAATTAATCCCAGTGAGGCCAGTTCTGGATTGAGCATAATTTCATTGGTGATCAGCACGTTGCTGTGCTGATCTCAGATTAGGCTATACTATTAAATAGACCACAGAGGATTTAGTGGGATATGGTGCACATACATACCAAATGTATTTGGAGCTAAAGAAAGTTGAAAGATATACCCGATGAATAACTTCACACTGGCTGCTTTGCTTTACAATTCAATATAACATTATGAGCCGTCTGGGGAGCAATTTGCCTTTATGAAGGCCTTCCAATATTAGGAGTATTTGTGCTATATTTGAAAGCTCAGGTGTGGCATCTAGTTGGCCTTGGCTCACCTCAGAAAAACTAAGGAGGCCTGGATAGCCTTAGAACAGTGGTTCTCAACCTTTTTAATGCCGCGACCCCCTCCCCCAACCGGTTATAAGTCGAGGACTACTCAACGGTTGTAAGTCGAGGACTACTCAACTGGTGCAGCACCGTTTGCAGAATGGGACTTTTGGCAGGCTCAGCAGGGCAGAGACAGCCTGGACAATTCCTATTGGCTTTTGAAAGCCAATAGACTCTATTCAAGAGAGTCTATTCTATTGGCTTTCAAAAGCCAATAGAATAAAAGGGAGTAGCACAGCTAAGGAAAAGGGGGGAAAATGGTGGACTGTGTTGTTTGGTGACCCCCGTGAAATGGTCGTTCGACCCCAAATGGGGTCCCGACCCACAGGTTGAGAACCACTGCCTTAGAACATTAGGAAGCTTAAGCTAGACTGAAAAGATTAAAAATATGGAAAGCAGCAATAAAAAAATCCAGTATTATTACCAATGAAATTACAGAGGTGTGCTCACTTAATATCCAGGTTGAACTGAACTTTACCTTGAACTACTTACTATCAAAGTTCCCTGCGGATAAGCAGACTACATCACAAAGGAACATTCTGGGCATGGTTCTCTCCCAGTTCATAATTCAACATCAGAAAAATGACAAATGACTTAATAGAAGCATAAGCACTCATTGAAAACCAGAGATGGGACTATGGAACACCGCATTCCATAGTATTCAAGGAAGGGGCAGAGATGCCAAAGCATCTGAATATTTTTATCTCACCCGCTTGGGCTCTCACCTAGCAGATACTTATTCTGGATGATTATATCTCACTCTAAGGCAGTGGTTCTCAACCTGTGGGTCGGGACCCCATTTGGGGTCGAACGACCATTTCACGGGGGTCGCCAAACAACGCAGTCCGCCATTTTTTCCCCCTTTTTCCTTAGCTGTGCTACTCCCTTTTATTCTATTGGCTTTTGAAAGCCAATAGAATAGACTCTCTTGAATAGAGTCTAATTCTATTGGCTTTCAAAAGCCAATAGGAATTGTCCAGGCTGTCTCTGCCCTGCTGAGCCCGCCAAAAGTCCCATTCTGCAAACGGTGCCGCACCAGTTGAATAGTCCTCGACTTACGACTGGTTGAGTAGTCCTTGACTTACGACCGGTTGGGGGGGGTCACGGCATTAAAAAGGTTGAGAACCACTGCTCTAAGGCATTTGGCTTTTTGAATTTAGCGATGTTTTATGACAGGAAACCCCTACTTTGCAGCCAAGAATTTATTAGATGAAACTTGTGGGCTTATTTTGTGCTACTGCAAAAAGATGAGGGTGGAGGAAACAAAATGCAAAAGCCCATTTTTAATTGCAATTATATGCAGAATCATATGCAGGACTTCCATTTATTCTTCAAGATGTGAGCAAAGTTTATAGATTAAGGAGCCCAATCTGTGCAGATGGGGAACACTTCAAACAGTGGGCTAAGCCATAACAAAGCAGGTAGTGCAGGAAAAACTATTTTTTTTAAAAAAACAACAACAATAGTCTATATGATTATTCCCCGTGTAATTAATAACTCTGCCCCTTTGCCATATTAACAAATATAATCCAGGGCAACTTTTACTGATACTTTGGGACTGCGGGCAGTACCTGAAGGAATTGCATGTTGAACAGCTCTACCTTAAAAACAGTGGAAGGAAGGGAAAAAAGGTTTTGATTCTTTCCCCAAAGCACTGCTGATTCTGCCAGTTTCTGCCTCCCCCAAACAGCAGCTCTACTTTTATATTATAACTGTGCTCTGTGAATACTTTCAGGACCACAAGGGTGTTTGCATTAAAACACTATAGAGAGGATTCTGTATCTAGCTCCATTTATGCTTTTCAGAGACTGCAAAAATTAAAAAAAGTTTCCAAGAGAGCAGCAGTTTCCCCATCCAAGAATTTCACCTTGTACTCCACCCGCTCTCTCGTTTGTTCTCTGCTGTCCTGGGAGAAGGTGAGCACCTGTGTCCTCCCCTCCCTTTTTCCTCCTCTAACACACACACAGCAAGGAATCGAGAAGCACCAGTTTGGAGTTTAATTAACCAGCCAGGGGGAAGAAAAGGACATTGGACAAGTGTGTTGCACCATCCCATTAATTACAGGAGGAGAAGGAAAGGGGTCGGGAAATTGGGCAGGAGCGAATACAGGTATAGAAAAGAGCAGTACAGTAAAAACAAGGGGGAACAAAAGAGGGCGGGGGGGGGAGGAGAGAGAAGTCACTTTTAAAATCACAATCTCAAACCTTTTATAAATGTACAAAAACCTTTTCCCCATCTGCCTAGGGGAGAATATATAAATATTTACACTGCCTCATGGGGAAGGTACCCCAAGATTCAAGCCCTCCCCCTTCCCCTGAAAGCAGCCTTCCCATCAGTCCACTGAGGATAAAGAACACACCAAGTCTGTTTTTAGCCCAGCAGGGACGCTGGAAGCAGGACAGAAATCCCGATGTCTTCAGAGGCCGGAAGAGGAGGCCTTTGCAGAAATCGGGAACGAGGACCGAGGGCACTCTGGCACCTGCATTCCTGACCTCTTCCACCCAAATGCACCCCGTTACTCAACTCCCAAGGTCGAAGTCCTTCTGGGCGACGACAGCAGCACATCCCTAACTCGGGCTATAGTGACCCAAAAGCCATTTCCTCTCCCCGCTAATTTAAGACGGGCGTCCTGGAGGCTGCTTGGTAAAAAGGTGTTCACGTTCCAGAGCGCCATTATCTGGAGTCCCGGTCCTTGTAGGAGGCCGCCAGTTCTCGGATGTCGGGGGCTCGTCGAGGAGAGCAGGGCCGCGCATTGGAAGCAGGGATGAGAGGCGGTGGGGCGCTCAGCAGTCCCACAGCTGCCACAGCGGCCGAGGGGGTGGCTTTCGCCAGCAGTCCGTTTTGATGGCGGGGGTAAGCCATGAGGCTGGGGTGCGGCGGGGGAGCCAAACCATACAACCGGGCTCTTTCGTAGTCCTCGGCGGCAGCGGCGGCGGCGGCAGCAGGCGATGGGGTCTCCAGGTAGCGGGGCAGGCGCTGTAGTGGGTGCAGCTCCAGGCCCCGGTGGTGGTAGGGCTCTCGCCAGGCGTCAAGGGCAGCATAGGAGGCAGCTGAGGGCGGGGCGGCCACCAAGTAGGGAGAGACGCTTCCTCCAGTCCCGGCTTGGGGTCTCTCAAACACGGCCAGCGTCCCAAGGGGGTGGGAGACATGCAAGGTACTGTGATAGGAAGCACCCGTGCGCAGAGCTCCCTCAAAGCCTGGCAACTCTGGCTCTTCCTTGACCTTCACTTCTTTCTTGAGAGGCAACTCTGGGTAAGGGGAGCGGGAGGTATGCCCTGAACTTGCCGGGCTGCCGTAGCGATGTTCTCGTTCTGCTTGTACGTGGGGTCGGCTTGGAGGCTCCTCGTGGATCAGCGATGGGTTCTTTGAGGTGGGAGTAGCTGGAGAGGAGCGCAGCGAATGGCGGGAGAAGAAGCCAGAATCTCTGGATCACAGAGAGACATAAAATGGAAGGGTCAAGACTTCCTGTGGGATCTGGCCCTCAATCATTGACTAGTAGTCACCCATTGCATCAGCTGCTTGGTCCCACTGTGGACCTGAATAATTGAAAGACCTTCTCCACCCTTTCAGAAAAGTCATCTATATCCCCCCCCCCCTTTTTTGCCATACGTATCCCTGAAAAAAGTGCTAAGTGTTCAGCGATTCCCAACCCAACAGCAGTAGGCAGCTTGAGAGGGCTGGTGGACACGTGGAAGTGAAGAGACCATAGTGTTGGCAGCCCTTACAAAATGGCTGAAGCGGAGAGGTTTGCCGGTTTACAAAATGGCTGCTCGGGTGAATGTGACCATCGCCATCCACCTCTAATCCCTCAGGATGCTTCTTACTGATTCAGTTTCTTTTTCTTTCTTTCTTTTGGAATACTCTTCACATTTAGCTGAGATGGCCTGTGATTTTTTTTTCTTTCTGAGAAAGGAGCCCAGAAGGATTTTTGTGGGCTTGTACGGCATGGTAGCTTCCCATTGTATAAGGCACTCTCAGAAACCTGTTTCTAAATGGCAGCATGTAATTTTTTATGTGTAGGTACCTATAATTACCCATCTCTGCAATGGTGGATGGGACACTTCTACATAGTAAGTCTCTGCCATTAAGCCGTGTCCTCCTTTTCCCCTTTATCCCTTACCTGTCCTTCTCATCCTTGATCACCGGCCCTTCAGACTTCTCACTCTCCTTCTCAAGTTGGCTGCTTCCACGCTCAGTCCCGTCACTGCCACCACCTTTGGGCCAGGCTGGGGCCGTAGGGAAGGAAGGAGGTGTACGGTGTAAGCGATTCCATGCCTCATGTGGACTAGGGAAGGCAGGAGCTCCAGGGCTGTCCTTCTGCCCAAAGACTGCACTTGAATCTGGGAAGGAGAAAAGAAAGATCAGACGGCCACACTACGTGCAGTGTTGCCCCTACAGCCCAGATCGATGACAAACAATATGGAAGGAACTGAATTATCTCATTAAAAGATTCATAGTTATCACACTAGCGCACAGAGCAATCCACACTCAGAGAAGCACATAGTGTGGTCTTATTAAATCAGTCTGCTTCTAAATGCTGGTGGAAGGATTCATTAAAAGGAGGAAGGGGGAGAATGCTCACTCACAAAAGAATTGTCAACACATTGGGAGTTATTATACAACAGAGAAAAACCTCTAGCCCAGGGATGGCGAACCTTTTAGAGCAGTGTTTCTCAACCTTGACAATTTTAAGGCATGTGGACTTCAACTCCCAGAATTCCACAGCCAGCAATGCTGGCTGTGAATTCTGGGAGTTGAAGTCCACATGCCTTAAAATTGTCAAGGTTGAGAAACACTGCTCTAGAGACTGAATGCCCCAAAACCGCCCCTGCCTCCCCACCCACCTCTCTCTGCGTCCCGCCCACTCCGCCCCCGCAAGGCCACCCACTGCCTCAGCGGCCCAGCAGCACCGTGGAAGCCATGCCCTCTCCCCCGTGCCCCGCAGCATCATCTGCGCATGACGGGGCACGAGGGCGGAGTCTTGTCTATGCTGCCTGGCTGCCATGTCCTTGGCTGTGCTGCTCTGTGTGGGCCACGCTCGGGGGCGACTCTCCTCCAGGGAGGCTGCTGGTAAGAAGAGGGCCGCGGGGGGAAGCGGGGCTGGGGCAACAGTACGCGTGCCCACAGAGAGGGCTCTGAGTGCCGCCTCCGGCACGCGTGCCATAGGTTCGCCACCATTGCTCTAGCCTAAGTTTCTCTCTTACATGTTTGATAAAGGCAGAGAGCTATCTGACTTTCCTGCCTATCTCTGCCTTTTCTAAAGGATAGAGATTTGCAACAGAAAAATTCAAAGCCTTACATAAACCTTGCAAAAATTATCAGATGGGCAGGAGAAGAAGAGGGAGATAAATCATGGAATTCTATGAACTGAGCAAACAAATCCAAAACCAGCGGTGAAGGGAAAGAGTAAAACAAGTAAAAAGTTAAAACTTCTGAAACTTTTTCCTCTTGGTAGTGTGCTGTGGAGGAGACAATTATTAGCTCTGGGTTACTTGGGAGCTATTAACAGAAAGGTGTTTAGTGTGTGATGCTTCATTATGCACTTGTTTGACTGGTAAAAAAAAAAAAACTGTTTAACCTGTACCCTTCTCAGTCTTCCATGTGGCCTTAGAAATCAACTGCCAAATTCCAAGATTCAACAATAGCCGACTAGGAAATCACCAAGATATGATTTCCTAGTGCAGTGGTGGCGAACCTATGGCACGGGTGCCAGAGGTGGCATTCAGAGCCCTCTCTGTGGGCACATGTGCCATTGCCCCAGCTTTGCCTCTCCCCACGACCCCTTCCTCACCAGCAACCCCTTTGGAGGAAGGTCACCCCCGAGCATGGCCCACGCGGAGCAGCACAGCCAGGGACATGGCAGCCAGGCAGCGTAGACAAGACTCTGCCCTCACGCCCCATCATGCAGGTGGGGTGCGGGCAGAGGGCGTGTCCGCCATGGTGCTGCTGGTTGCCTGGGCGATCTGCGGTGGGCCCTGGAGGGGGCGAGTGGCCCTGTGGGCAGGCGGGGTGGGGCCGGGGCAGGGGATGGAGCGGGGGTAGGGCCAGTTTTTGGGCACTCGGTCTCTAAAAGGTTTGCCATCACTGTCCTAGTGCTTGATAGAAAGAAAGGAAAATGAAGGATGCTATAATCTCAAAAAGAGATTTAACCTAAATCTTCAGGACTTAGAGGTGTTCATACAGCATGATTGACCTAGGCCAGGGCTTTTCAACCTTTTCAGAGATTGTACCACTTTTAGGGCATGACAATACTCGAGTACCACCAGTGCTTAGCAAGGGGTCAAAAACTTGATGACCTCCCCCCCCCCAAAAAAAAAGGGATTTGGGGTTTTACCGATTAGATCGATTTATTGTTATAGAAATGGCTAGTTTATACTATTATGGAAAAGTAAAAAGTTGCGGTTCAGTATTAATGCTTCCTTCTACTGCAAGAGAGGTAGTCGGAAGTCAGGGCCTTTTCTTTTTCCCTTCTCCCCCTGACTTTTCTTTCCCTTTTTCCTCCCCACTGTGTCCTACTATTTGCTTTTGTACTTTTGCATTTTATACTGTAATAAAATGTTATAAACCGTAAAAAAAAAAAAATAATAAAAAGGAAAAAAAGCACTGGTTTTAATTTCTTCGGTGGCGGTTCCTTTGCTGAATCCCTTTCCCTTTGCAATGACGAACGTATCACGAATGTATCCATGTTTATTAATATGCACCACTACCTTGTAATCAGGTGTCTGGTCGGCCCATCTTCCTCTCCCCCTTTCCTCCCCTTCCTCCCTGCCTGCTGGGCTCTCCTTCCACGGCCTCTACGCCCTCTCTTTCCCCCCCCGTCTTGTTTTTTCCTCCCCTGCCAAAACCTCTTCCTTTTATCTCCTCTCCTCTCTCCCCCCTCCTCCTCCTCTTCTCTTCCGTGTGTGAGTGCCGATCAACATGTAGCCACCCACGCCAAACCTGGGGCCTCTGCCTTGCCCCGGCAGCTCCAGCTGACTCTCTCACCCCCAAGGCCCTTCTGCTGCTCTTGGTGATAGCAGAGACTACTGGAAGCGCCGATCCTGGGCTCTCAGTAGAGTCCCTGCAACACCCCAGCTCCAGCTGACTCTCCGCCTGAAGACTGCATGCGGCTGCCGGCCACCCCCGAGGCCTCCGGAAGCGCCATCATCTGGAGCCATGCGCACCAATCCTGGGCCCTCAGCAGAGCTCCGGTAACACCGCAGCTCCAGCTGACTCTCCCCCAGGCCTATGCGGTGCTGCCGCCACTTCAGCTCATTCGCTCCACTACCCTTGTCTAGGTCGTGTACCGCCTGCCAGGCACCAAAGTACCATCCCTGGTACATGTGCCACTGGTTGAAAAGCCCTGGCCTAAATAACCCTGCGGCTGGAGAGTCCTGTTCTACTGAGCTGCAGTGTCTGCCAGTCATCCTGGCTGCCATTTTTCAAGTCATCCTTCGCTTGCAGAGACTAGGAAGCTTTCGCTGCCCCTTTAATATTTTTTTTAACTGCAGCTGAAACAATCATAGTACTATGATGTGAGTCAGTGTTACTGTGGATGGAGTCAAGGACTCTTTCTCTTATTTCTGTCCCAGTTTTCACACACAGCCATTGTAGAACAGGGAAAGATGACAACAGAGCTTATAGCTCTCTTAAGAGTTCACCAGAACCTCAGTGGTTGGAATGAACATCTAATGTTCAAGTAAGTAGTGGGGGAATTCGTAGTCTTTGGTTGCTTCCCCCACATACACATACACCCTCCCTTTTAAAATGCTAGTATCAAAATAAGGCCCATTCTTTGCCTAGCCGTTTTGATAACCCACCGAAAACTGCCTTCAATACTTGTGCCCCTTCTCTTAAAAATACTCACTGAAGGATGGGTTGCCCAGACCGCCAAATGCCCCGTTGGAGAGTGCGCCCAGAGAGGCAAAGCTAGGAGGCCTGCCAAAAGGATCTGGAAAAGAAGTCAGTGGAGGAGTCAGCAATCATACGGGAGCTAGTGGTTCCTGTTCTCTTGGCTGCGTTACTCTGGGACATCCGGTCTTACCAATGTGGGGGCTGGGGTTGAGGAAAGAGCCATGGGGAGTGGTGCCAGGACCAAAGGAGGGGGAATTGCCTGGATGGACGACACCTGCAAGAAAGAGGAAGTGAGCACAGGATAATAGATTAAAATAAAAAGAAGGGGGGGGGAGAGAACGATGAGTATATTTCACATCAAAAGAATGACGACTCCCAAAACAAAAATATTTCCAGGGTAAAATGTAATTTAGCCACAACATGTTTTCAAGTGCCTTGATTAGTTTTCTCTCATAACCCCTGTATTAAGGTAAGGCCTCCCTGTTCAGATTTCCAGACAGAAAACTGAGGAAAGCATAAAGGCTAACATTATGGGTCTTATTATCAAAACACCCAAGTGCCCAGCAGGTAGGCAAGGCCGCCCTTGGAATACTGCATCCAGTTTTGATCACAATGTAAAAATGATGTTGAGACTCTACAAAGAGTGCAGAGAAGAGCAACAAACATGATTAGGGGACTGGAGGCTAAAACATATAAGGAACGGCTGCTGGAATTGGGTCTGTCTAGCATCTAATGACAAGAAAGACGAGGGGGGGACATGATAGCAGTGTTCCAATATCTCAGGGGCTGCCACAAAGAAGAGGGAGTCAAGCTATTCTCCAAGGCGCCTGAAGGGAGGACAAGCAATGGGTGGAAACTAATCAAAGAGAGAAGCAACCTAGAATTAGAAGGAGAAACGTCTTGACAGTTAGAACAATTAATCAGTGGAACAACCTGCCTACAGAACAGGGGTGTCAAACTGCTGGCCCACGGGCTGGTTTCATCATACCGGAGCCGCGCCCACCCCATTGCCGGCAACGGCGAAAAAGCTCCGATACATTGCGCGACGTCACGTGACGTCGCGCGTTTGACATGTCTGCTCCAGAAGTTGTGAATGCTCCAACACTGGAAGTTTTAAAGAAGAGATTAGATAGCCATTTGTCTGAAATGCTTTAGGGCAGGGGTGTCAAACTCAATTTCATTGAGGGCCGCATCTGCATTGCGGTTGCCCTCGGGGGGGGGGGGCAGGTGGGTGCGGCCAGGGTGGGTGTGGCCTACTGGGTGAGCGTGGATGGAGTGGGTGTGGCCTACTGGGTGGGCATGGCCAGCTCTACATAGTTCGCATCAAGGGTGCCTGTGGGGGCCTGGTAAGGAGTGGGACAGATCTGAGGGTCTCTGGCAGAAGCGGGTGGGACCGGGGCCAGCGCCAAGGCATGGTGCATTTCTTCATTCCTCACAAAGGGTGACACCTCCTCAGCATGCATCCAGGGGGTGGGGCCGACATGGCAGGGGCTGGTTCCTCGCTATTTCCAGACGGCCTTGTGGAGCTAAGACTGAATGCGTTTCAGCATAGATGGCAACCACAAAATTGTACATTGGCTCCCGGCCGGCCTGGGCCAGGGCCAAGGCAGCGGGGGCTGTTCCCTCACTGTTTCCAGGATGGCTTTGCGGGCTACATGAAACCACTTTGCGGGCAACATCCAGCCCCCAGGCCTTGTGTTTGACATGTCTGCTTTAGGGTTTGCTGCCTGAGCAGGGGGTTGGACTAGATGACCTCCAAGGTCCCTTCCACCACCATCATCATCATCATTATTATTATATTACTGAATGGCACAATTAGTTGTAGTGGCAAACATTGGGCAGGGTGAGCTTTAAGAAGTCTCCGTTATTTAATCGTCAGGGAAAAGCCTTCCAGTATTTGCAAAAAGCACACTGACCAGCGGCTGTGAAGAGGGTGGCGGGGCGTGCCAGCTCCTGGCTGTGGGGCAGACTGCCGAAGGCTCCGGTCTCAGGCAAGCCAGTGAGGAGGTCATTCCGGAAATCCAACTTATGGGGATCCCCCTGCATCAGCTGTGAGAAGACAGAAGAGCAAGAAGCCCTGGTAAGCGGCAAGTCACGCACAGGGTTCAATCCAGCTGGCCTCACGCTAGACTTTGGCAGAGACCTCGCCTATTCTGCCTCACAACGCTCTCGCGATTCTGCTCTCCAACCTCTAACCCAGCACCACGAGCCCCAATTTGGATCCAGCACGGGAGACGTTGGAAGAGCAAGGTTTCCTCTCCGGTTGGCTGCAGGGACCTCCTGTGCCACACCCCAACACTGTACACAGCAGGTGGAGGGGAAAGGTGGCCCAGGCTCACCCTACCTTTATTTTCTCCTGGTGCCGCAGGATCATATATGCCACACGGACGTGCATGGCGCACCACTTCCCCGGCTTCTGCGAGAGAAGGGGGAACCATCAGCTCTGCACATTATGTCCCTGAGGGCCAGGCACATGTTGCCCTATACCCTGACTTCTTCGCTCTCCCCACTCACGGGGTGTATCTCCCCCTCCCACCACTTCTAGTCCTTTCACCTCACGTTATCCACCCTTTTGCAGTGGGGTCAAAGAGCGTCCCAATGTTACTCACTCTCAACGTCGGCCTGAAAGGATCGGTGATCTGCAAGGAGACAGAAAAAAAAAACACATGGGGGGGGGGTGGGTGGGCAATCCTCTTCCCGCTGTCCCTGCCCATTCTCCCGAACAGAGGGTAAACTCACCTGGCTGCCTTTCTGGGACATGCTGGGTGGGACAGCACCCAGCCGGGAAGGCAGGTCAGGATTAGTGCTCTGAGGAACCAAAGAAGCAAAACGGATCCTTAAGTATAAGCACAATTGGTTGATTAGCATTCCCTAGCATAGACCGTCTTGAAATCGTCCCCCTCCAGCTGCGGAGTTCAGGAACGATGAGCTCAAGCTTTCAGCTTCTTCCACTGGAATATTCTAGTTTCACATGCAGTTGCCAAGGAACTGCAATTCCTTTTCTTCACTACCAAATTATTGGCAGACACGAAATGGCACCGCTCTGTGAAGCCATATGCAACCCCACAGCTTTTTGCAAAACGTTGAGTTCTCTCTTAAAGTTCACGGCTGAACGGGCACATCAAGCACTTGCCCTCTCGTGCTCAGACGCATTGATCTGCATTCTTTTTTTTTTTTTGATTGCCGCGATTCCCTCATCTATCCCGCCAAACTCGCCACGTGCAGAAAACTCAAGCATCACAGTCCTTGATCCCGTTTCCCCCCCTCTCCACTACAACATGCAAAAGGCCTCTTATCACCAGAAAATAAGCAGAAAAGCCGGAAGCTCTGAATTCTAAAGCTTTCCCTCCACTCAAACTTCCGCAAAGACCCCGTTTTGTCCACTGCGCCTGGAGGGTTCACCTTAGGTTGGAATGCCCCCTGCAGGGAGCCAAAATTCACAGCAGGAGGCAGGACCGGGGAGATCCCCGACACGGTTGGGGGGTAGGCAGGATAAAACTGGAAGAAGAAGAGAAAGCAATGGAAGCGCCACCCAGAGAACTGAGGCAGGAGAGGGTTCTGCTCCTTGCTCAGGATGCAGTTTGGTAAATTTCATCGGGGTCCCTTTAAAAGGCCAGCCCCTCCTCCAAAATGAATGCACTTACATTATGTCTCAGAAGCCCATCCATTTTCCCAGGGTACTTCTCATACTGCAGGAAAAGAAAAGAAATCAGAACAGACCTGTTTAAATGGGTCAGGCAGGTCCCAGGAGAAGGGAGGAAAGAAAGAGAATTGTCAGGCCCCAAAACCAGGAAGGACACATGGTGATTTTCCCAAGCAAAGTTCTTTATTGTTCTGTGCCTATAGACAGAATCTTGCCAAACTAAAGCCTTCTATTCTTTACATCAAGCATGCATTCTGAGAACTATTAGGGAGGGGCTGTCTTCACCCCCTTTCTCTCACACAAAATATCTGGACTGAGCTGCCTCTTATTCCTCTGGGATGCGCCCCTCCCTCCTGGAACGCCATCTCACTACACTGCCTCTCAAAAATCCTTTTAAACTAACCTCTGAATTCTGATAGACCAGGGGTAGGCAACCTTGGCTCTTTTATGACTCGTGGACTTCAACTCCCAGAATTCCTGAGCCAGCCATGATGAGGGGAAAGGGAGAGGTTTCCAAGCTGAGCTATGCTGGCTCAGGAATTCTGGGAGTTGAAGTCCACGAGTCATAAAAGAGCCAAGGTTGCTTACCTCTGTGATAGACCAAGTTAATCCTACTAGATGCTGTTAAGACCCATGAGCCGTGAAGCCTTGCCTGCCACCTCAGTTCAGTCTGTACTGCACTTACCATGGCTGGGCTGGGTGTGGGCACCATGCTTGACGGGAAAGGAGTGAAGTGCTGGTGGGTGTGCTGGTGGGTGTGCTGGTGCTGGTGGTTGTGTTGGTGGAACTGGAAAGCCAGAGGGCGGATGGCAGCAGCTCCCATGTCGGCCCCGCCTTGCGTCGTGAGGAATCGGGAACTCAAGTCCTGGCGGATTAATTCTTGTTCTGAGGAGACAGAAGAACAACCCGTAATTGCCAACTTGTCAGGAGAAAAGGAACCAATGCTGAAAAAAAGAGAGAAAAGATTTGACTCGCCCCCTCCCCACAACTCTCCACCTCTCCATGTACAGGAAGTCCTTGACTTATGACCGGTCGCTTAATGATCAAGTTATGACAGACCACCCCAGAGCGACTTAAGAACCATTTTCAAAATTATATGGCTGCACACTACCACCCCAGGGTTGTGTGATCACATTTTCAGCACATTTCATGTATCTATTTTCGAACATTTATATAGCTGCCTGCTCGCTCACAGCAACTCTAGGCATACAAACAGTAAAAATACAAAATAGAAAATAAAATAAAAATAAAAGAGATAGAAATAACGAAGAACCCACCCCGGCAACAGCACACAATAAAATAAGCCACTTGATGGGGTCAATTGCACTCTGGGTTCCCTGGGCCTGCTGGCAAAACCACGTCTTCAGGGCCTTCTGAAAGACTGCCAAAGTGGGGGCCAGTCTAATCTCTGCAGGGATGATGTTCCAAAGGGAGGGAGCCACCACAGAGAAGGTCCTTCTGGGTTCCCAAACATTATTTGCCTCCCCTCTCTTTCACCCCTACAGCTGTTTGCAGTGTTCCGTGGTGACATGACCATGACATGACCATGAATTGCAATTGCTTTTTTGCCATTTTCTGGCATTCACTTCTGGTTTGTGGCAAAAATGACCACTGGGGATGGGAGGGGGAAGGTTTCACTTAACAACCCTTGTTAAAAAAAAGTCATAATTTCAAATCTAGTCACCTGATGCCAAACCTACAACTGTAATGACTTACAACAGTAATTCCAGGTTCAATCACAGTTGTTAGTTGAGGACTATTGGTATCTCTGCCCTATACAGTGGCTCCTAATTTTTCTACAAGTATCCAACTAGTCCAGATTTTGTATCTTGCCAGAGTCTTTCTCCGATGATTCATCATAATTTTCCAAAGCCAGTACAGTCCTATTAGTTTACAGCCTCCACATATCCTCTGATAACCTTATTCTTTTTAGTTTCCCTTTGAAAGTAGGTCCCCCCCCCTTCTTCTTGTTTCATGTTGCCAATTTGTATTCAAACTGTTCCTTCAAAATTAGGACTAGAAATTTAAGGAAGTTAAGCTTTCTTAAAATACTTTTATGACTACCCACTACATAGAGTCTTAAAGCCAGATTGTACAACTTCTGGTTCCTAGAGCAAATCTCAAACTTGCCACTAAATTGTAATGTTTAATGTAGTAAAAGAGTGCAATTATTAAATCGAAATGAAACATTTATCTTAACTATCTTTAAATTTGACTGTCATTAAAGTGATATCAAAACAAAGTTAAGTTTTTGTCCCAGTCCTGTCACGCTTATTTCATGAATTCATTCTCCAGCATGCAATTCAAAGACCAAATGTACTTCTGGGTCCTCAAAGAGCTTGTACCCCACTGCTCTAAACCATATGTTACAATTCGGCTAAGAATACTTTATGACAGTAGAATATTCTACATCCCTACATGTAGTCCTCAACTTACAACCATAACTGAGCACAAAATTTCCATCACTAGGGAAGAGAGTTGTTAAGCGAGTTTTGACCCATTTTTTTTTTGGCTGTTAAGTGAATCAGCTGCAGTTGTTAAATTAGTAACACAGTTGTTAAGTGAATCTGGCTTCCCTATTGACTTTGCTTATCAGAAAGTCGCAAACGGTGATCACATGACCCCGGGACACTGCAACGGTCATAAATATGAATCAGTTGCCAAGCACCCAAATGTCGATCATATGACCATGGGGATGCTGCAGGATCGTGTAAAAAACAGTCATAAATTACTTTTTTCAGTGCTGTTCTAACTTTGAACATTCACTAAACGAACGGTTGTAAGTTGAGGACTACCTTTACAGTGTATATTTTTATGCTGGTTTTTTTTTTTTTACAAACAATTTGCATCTAAATGCATGTATGCCTGCATCCTGAAATATATATACACAACATAGGCTAAACCAGGTGTGTCCATCCAGCACCCTGCGGGCCACATGTAGCCCTGGACAGCTAGTAAGGCAGCCCCACAAAGTAGTAAACTTTTAACATTGTTATGTTATTTATGTACATTATATACTTTATATGCATGCCAAGACAATCCCTCTTCGCTCAGTGCAGCCCAGGCAAGCCAAAAGTTTGGACCCCCCGTGGGCTAAACAGTTCAATCTTGTTTTATTCCTTCTTCTCGTCAATTTAGCCCCCGCCAATCTTCCCAAAGCACTTGTCACACCCTATCGTTCCCCTCCATTGAATTCTCTCTTACCAGATATGGCAGCGGCTGCAGCTGGGTGCCCAGCAACTTGAAGCAATGGGGGTGGCGGTGGGAGGCCAGGCGAGGGGGTGAACATGCCTGGGTGGTGGTGGGAAGGGGGACGAAGGGTGGAGGAAAAGGCGTGGGGGGGCAGGGCCAGCGAGGGGGTGGAGGGCCGGTGAGGGAGTTGAGAAGAAGGGGAGCAGGGCGGGAGGATGGGCTTGGGGTGAGCTGCACCGCGGCTGCACCTGAAAAAGGGAGAAAAAATAAATATATACTTGGAGTGCCTAGGTCAGGAAGAGACAATATGGATGGAAATACAGAGACGCTCAAGAAAGCCGTTCATTGGGCTCTGAGAGACTCGGGTTTCCATCTCAGTTCAGTAATGATGAACCCAGTTGGGATGTCTTGGATTAGAAGCTTCATCCAGCATCCTATCCTTAGTAATAGCATACAGGGAACAACGGGGACAGGTCTCGTGGAATTGTTAACAGTACAAGCCAGGGCACTATCTACTCAGAATAAACTTTTTTTTTTTTTAAAGACACCTCTTTCTAAAGAAAGAAATGAGAAAAACATTGAGAGAACGAGAGAAAGTGCAGCCCAACTACAGGATGTGGTCACTTCAACTGTGGGCCAGAAAGCCCCAGTCCAGTCTTATCCTTATCATAACCTCATTGTAGGGAGCAAGCTAGGCCAGTGATGGCGAACCTTTTAGATACTGAGTGCCCAAACTGCAACCCAAAACCCACTTATGCATCAAGTGCCGGGTGGGTGTGGCCCATTGGGTGGGCATGGCCCATTGGGTAGGGGTGGCTGCGGTGGTAACGGCAGTCTGGGTGGGACTAAAAAATTCAATCCATCAGTTCCAACTTTGCAAGATCTTTTTTTTCCCTGCGAGAAGTTGAAATTGACTGATTGAACCTTTTTTTTTTTTTTTTTTTTGCACATGGCGGCGGAGGCCTAAAGCGAAAAGGTTTTATAAAACCCAGCTGAAGGCCTAGGACTGGGGCGACGGCGTGCGTGCCCACAGAGAGGGCTCTGAGTGCCGCCTCTGGCACCCGTGCCATAGGTTCCCCACCACTGAGCTAGGTTATTCTCTCCATTTTAAGTAGTTAAGTCATCTTCAATGTAGCTGTAACAATATACAAACTATCTACAGGGCTGCTATAATAAGGATATACAAAGAGCTCTCAAACGTTATAAGACATAAAGGAAGGGAGGGAAATGTCTCGAAGAGGACAGAAGCAACAGCAGTTAAAAGGAAATAAAAACTATGAAAGTGTAGAAGGAAGAAGAACAAAAGGACAGAAAACTAACACGGGGACAGAAGAAAAGCTTGAAAGAGACGAACAGGTAAAGAGAATGTGGGGGGGAAAAAAACAGAGAGACGGCATCAGGACTCACCCTCCAGTGCTGAGGTCGAGCCCTACAGAGTACGGGGCCTGTGTCTGGCTGGCAAAGGGTGGCACCTTCATGTGCAGTTGGCTCTGGGCAAGGCTGTGGGTAACTGCTCCACCCTGAGGCATTGGAGGCAGCTGGCCTTTGGGCTGGGGCGTCCCACGAACAGTGTTAGGTGTCTGAGCCCGAGTCTTGACAGGAGGTGGGGCAGGAGGACTTGGAGGCAAGGCCTGAGCCAGAATAGGGGCAGTGGCTGCCTGAGAAGGGGGTTCCTTAGGCAGGAAAGGCACGAGCAGGGAGTCCCGGTCAGCCTCATAGTTACGCTCCTGGCTCCGCTCCAGGCCAGAGACTTTAGGGATCACAGAGAGTTTGGCTTCACAGCTCCCGTTTAATGCACCAATGGGTCCCGAGGCTGCCAGAAAAAAAAATGCAAACAGAGAAAACAGGAATCAGGCTGTTGGCAAAGGCTCAACAGATTGTGTTGGATTTTAAAACTTTTGGGGGTGGATCCCCATTTCACCGGCTAGTCAAATCTGTTAGCTACAAATGCCGATGTACACAACAAGAGTACGCGATGGTAAGTAACTAAGGGGAGGGGGTAAGTATCCACTGATGTTGCATGTTTTTAAAAATTCCACGAAAATAGCAGAGGCACAATGAATCAAAACCTTCCAGGAACAGAGGTGGCAACTGTCACAAAACCGTCCAGCAACAATATCATGGTTGATACTTTGGACCCCCAGTTAGGAGCAGGGAGTCTTAGCACCTCAGTAAAATGTTCCGAGGGACACTTTTGCGGTAACCTTCAAGCAAAGTACTCCTTTAGCTATCAGCGTGGTCACACCAGGAAATACTTTGCTTTGAAGGTTCATGCAAATGCTCCTTCACGGCACTTTATGGAGGGACCAAAGAGCGGTTGCTTCTCATTGGATGGAGAACACCTCGCTTAGCGAAAGTTGGGTCTGTGCACTTGGAGAAGCCATCTCTGCAATCAAAGTCTCCAAACAAAGCACATCAGCCTCCCCGATCCTGGCTAAGTTTTTTTTGCAGAGACACAAGTGATCCTGGTCTACGAGGTTCTTTGCTTGCGTTGAAACAGTGGTGACCCGCACAGGGCTCCTTAATACTACTACTTTTATGAAAGCAAACTCTTTTGAAACCCAGAACTGCTTATTTCCCTCTTTTTGACAAAATCCCATATAAACATATTCTCTTTTTCTGTTCAGCTGTTCCTCCTAAACCAGTGTTTCTCAACCTTGACAATTTTAAGGCAATGCTGGCTGTGGAATTCTGGGAGTTGAAGTCCACATGCCTTAAAATTGTCAAGGTTGAGAAACACTGTCCTAAACCTAAGATCTGGTTGGCTCCCATCCTGATAATGTTCAGGAACCTTTTAAAATCCTAGTTTCCCTCTTAAGCTTTGGGGCAGAGTGCAGGATGAGACCCTGCTAGATGTATTTTGGGGGACTATTCATATTTTTTTTTGTCATTTTTACTTTTTAAGTGTAAGCTGCCCAAACACATAGGGAGTTGGATAACCTACGAATTGTATAAATTAATAATTACAAGCATCAGGAGACAGAGGATCTAGTATAGGCTGTGAAATGAGACAGGTTTTTTCTGATTCTGATAATGCTCATTATTATAAATCTGGTTAGAATGATGTTCTAAACTGAACAGAGAACACTTATTTTGTTTTAAACCATACAAACCCAGTTTCTTCAAACTGTCCTGAAGATAGCAACACAGGACGTTAAGCTGGCATGATAACCAGGTAGGTTGGGAATTCTAGAAGCTGCCATTCCTACCCAGGTGGGGGTACTTTTGCCAACTGTAGCTCTCTCTCACAGTAGTTTCCACCATCTAAGGCGGAGGAAGATATTCCACCCCACTTGCTAATCAATTTTTTTAAAAATCAGATGGACCGAGTACTTGGTATAGGTCAGGGATAGGCAACCTTGGCTGTTTTATGACTTGTGGACTTCAACTCCCAGAATTCCTATAGCTGGCTCAGGAATTCTGGGAGTTGAAGTCCACGAGTCATAAAAGAGCCAAGGTTGCCTACCCCGGTATAGGTAAAACAGAACCACAGTGCACCAATCTCTCCACAGAAGCAAAAATCGTGCTCATTCAAGTCACACTGAGAAATGCTGCAATGTTTTCTTTAGTGCACAGAACCACAAGCAGACCCCACCCCCACCCCCACCCCCTTGCTATTTGCCCACACCCAACCTTTGCTGGTTGAGACAGTGAATGACTGTTCGAGGTCATCAATGGAGGCCTGCAGAAAGACAAGAAATACAGGGAGCTCATTATATTCCCCAAATACATTTTTTTAAAAAAACAAAACCCTACTTCTAAATGTATTTGGAACAGGCAGAAAAGCTACCTGAGAGCTTTTCAAGGACCCAGGTACTTTTCCTTTGAAAGTAGAAGCATGATAAGTTGTTTTTTTTTCTACTGTACAAGGTAAGATGGATTCGTGAGTTATCTTTAATGTACGGTTGGACTGCTTTCCATGACAGCAGTCATGGTTAGAAATGGTCGTTAACCAAGTCAAACTACTCTTAATTCATCACAATTCTCTCTTTTGCATTTCAAAACAAATACTCAAGTGTTTTTTTTTTAACGCAGGCCATTGATCACGTTCTATAAACTTTCAGATGCTGATTAAAGCCCTTGTGTTTTTATCTTCTACAAATTTCTCAATGGCTTATGTTGCACAATTGGAATTAGATGAGAGAGACCAAGAGTTGTTTTTTTTTATTATTATTGTATATAAGTGCGTGTCCGTAGGCATACACAGATAATTGTTTCCAGACTCTTGCTCTCTCATCCATCCTAAGGTCACTAAAGCACATGGGGTGCACTTCATACCTGGTACTATCTACCACCCAACTTACAGAAAAATCAGCCACAAATCCTTCCTGAAAACATTTGCAATAGACTGCAAAAAATATGGTTATTTCTACTAACCTACATTTTCTTAAAAAAAAAAAAAAACCCACCATCTCCCTAACCAATTTGGTCAATTGCCCTACCACCCAATTATTTCTTTGACTCGAAGGTAAAAGTGCTCCACGCTGTAAAACACCGAAAATAAAGCCCTCCATTTTGTCCCCAGCTCAGCACAAAACCTCAAAATATGGAGTGTTTTGTTTGGAGCTGTGAACACAAATAAAAGCCGTTTCAAGTTTTAACAATTTTGTGCGGGCCTGGAATTTTGGTGTACTTCTGGAAAAATGTACAACAGACATGTCAAACTTGCAACATCATGTGATGTCGCACAACACATCGGAGCTTTTTCGCCATTGCTGGCATGGTTTCCTGATGACGTGTCCGGCCCACGGGCCGGCAGTTTGACACTCCTGATGTACAAGGTTGAAATATTCACACACTAAATGTTTGTGCAGAAGAAAACCATCGAAAGCAGCTTCCCATACATAAAAGCAACCTTAATATATGTTCATAAAATAGAATTTCTCGCAATATTGCCCCTAGGTCAAGGGTAGGCAACCTCGGCTCTTTTATGTCTCGTGGACTTCAACTCCCAGAATTCCTGAGCCAGCTATGCTGGCTCAGGAATTCTGGGAGTTGAAGTCTACGAGTCATAAAAGAGCCGAGGTTGCCTACCCCTGCCCTAGGTCATTTCTAGAAAAGCATGCAACTATTGCTAAGTACTGAGAACATGTCATAAACTAGGCCCAGAAATTTATAGTTGCCTACCTGCTCCTCTGGGTCGCTTTCTGTATCACACTGTCAAGGAACAATGGAGAAAAAGAAACAGATGTCAAATGGAGCAATATAATGGCAAATATCTCTCTCTGGATCTTTGCTGTTCTATACATATCTACTACAAACGATAGATTTTACGGTATGACAGCAAGCTAGGTCTTGCTGTATCCAATATAGAATATCATAAAGAGTATTAAGAGCACAAAAACATTTCTAAAAATTGTAGAATGCAGGAAGAATGATCTGCTATTACTGTACATAGAATCCAGGAAATTAGTCAGGATACCCCCAAGAGACCCTTAAATGCATTGGAATCTATTATTTTTTAAAAAAATCAAAGCATGCAAATTAGCATCATTGCAAGAATTAACCATAACTAAGGGAGTGAATGGGCAGTTTTAGCACCTCCTAGCTGTTCTATACACAATCCATTGCTTGCTCTAGTATTAAGTATGAATTAGTATTAAGAGGAGTTGATTTCTCTGCTCTTCTGGGAAAACCATTTGTAACACAATTAAAGCCTGCCTTAATCTGAGGGACAGATAGAATGCTTGGGCAATTAAAATTCAGTCTTGTGGAACCCTGTTCTGAAGGGATTGAGGAAAGAACGTTCATACACTACCCACTTACTATATATCCAGTTTCCAGGTAAGACTGGAGAGAAGGCTGAATTTGATTTTAAAAAGAGACAAAAGAAAGAGAGAAATTGATTAGACTCACAATAATGAGGTTTGAACTCCACAACATACAAGCCAGAACTCTATATACCAAGTTTTGTTTGGTTGAGAGGGTAATGAAATTAAAACTATACTGAAAATACTTCCAAAACATGTGATCTGGATTTCTAAAATAGGTCAACCTTGATTTGTCTCTGGCTGTAAACATTATACAGGTCAATAAGAGCATGTTTGGAAAATAATTGCTCCACTCTTTGCTCTATTTTGCTGGGCATATGACGACATACTGATGATTGTGCTAAGATTATTCCTGTATAAACAATTTAGCAGATTCAGTTGAAAAGAAGAAAACACTGCACTTGTGAATCTCTCAATAGTAATAACAACAAATCTTCCATGAAGAGAAACCCAACTGTCTGCTTTTGAGAAACATAATCTGAGGACCCAGCAAACATCTTCAAAAATGGCCCCCAAAACTTATGTGCTAATGTTGCTAATGTGAAAGAAGGAAATGGTTATTAAATACATGGAAAATAATTATGTTAATAAATATAATTTAAATTAAAATATTTAAAATTAAGCATCAATTAAAGTTTATTTTCTTTCTATCCACATTTGAAGAATGTATCTGCAATGCCATTCAAACAGCTAATGCAGCCTCTGGCTGAAAAATATGGACCTTATGTCTTTTATTATATAGGAGTCCACAGTTTCAGGAAGCTGTCCTTTAGATTTATTTAATTATATACTTTCTTGGTTTTGCTCTTCAATTTTCCTTTATAAAGTGAAGATATAAAACATTTTTTTAATCCTTACGTATCTCTTTCTGTTTCGTCCTTTATTTTTTTCCAAGAAAATATGAACAGGTCAGCTTTGTTCCCACTTTATTGCTGTCAGTTTTACTTCAACTATATAGTGAAAAAAGCTGGGATTTCAACTAATTTTTGGATGATAGATTCAACTAACTAGCTGTTTTGGATATGGTATTAAACAAAAAACATTCAAAGGAACAGAAAATTCAAGAGCGCTACAGGCTGAGTTGTCCTGACTGCTTTTTTTGTCTTATTTCCAAGAAAAGGTTAGTAAATTTTATGCATGTATATTAAGACAGGGGGGCACAATTATGTAAATATTACAACTGTATAATATTCCCTTCCACCAAGTCTACGGAGTTATACATGCTTCGCTGCTCATGATCCTGCATAGCACAGAATGACAGTTTCCTGTTGCCAATGTTGCACTTTTGTGCTTTCCCCCTACTGAATATTAATGCTTACATCCCTTGTGTGGCAAATTATGATAGATGAGCAAGCCACTGTTTACCCCAATGGAACATCATTTTGGGTACAAAGCTGCACTGGCTCTAGGCAAGCACTGCCAGCATGTGGTTCCCTTGCTTGGATGCAGGCGGCTACACATCGCTCCTCACCTTTAGTACTTGCAAGGTCCCTTGCTTCACCTGGACCTAATCTTTTAAATTCTATTATTTCTAAAAACAAACGGGAAGCTGCAAAACAAAGCATCCACTGCCAAAGCCCTTTTGATTTTCAAATATGCATCTGGACCCACATTGGCACTATAAGTACACTCAGAAATAATATTGAGGGATTTCCGAATATAGATTAATAAAGTCTGGGCTCATAATACACTAGATTTAACTTTGATCGAAAAGAAGGTGTGGACAATACCTGTGGATAACAAAACATACACAAAGAATTTGGAGAAAATCCCTATCAAGATCTCAAAATCAAAACTGAAATATTATGGCATAAACCAGCCATGATGGTCCTAGTAGTTATCAGCACACTGTGTGCTATATCCCCAAAATATCTTGGATGGCACTTGGAAAATCTGTAGATTGACAAGTTACCCTCTGCTTGGATTTGCACATATACTATGCTGATATGGCATCCTACGCAGAATCTGATGCGTGGGTAGGCTAATACTAGCCAAAGACTTGGCAGCTGTGGCTTAACATTGTTGTGAATAGAAAATAATAATACAAACGTGTATGTTTAACACATTTAATACTTTGGGAATTGAAATTGCTTGGCTGCTCAGAAAAGAAAATTCACCCGGTGATTTGTTACAGGCCATAACGACCACAATGGCAATGTTATGAACAAACCAGGCTCCATTCCCATGATGGCTGCTGTACCGACTGGCTTGCCACAGTCTATTATTTACTAATTATTTGCCACAGTTTATTATTTGCTCCTCGGGACCTTCCAAATATCCTGAAGTAGCGTTTCCCAAAGCTTCTTCCCACTCATCCAGCCCACTAAAAAGGGCAAAGTGGAGCCTTCAAGAAACATCCTTTCAATGCAGCGAGTGATACTGGCTCCTGCTGTCCCAGCCTGCAATTTTCCAAATGATAGTGTTGAAAAACTGAGGTGTTCTCTGGAAGCATATTTCTAGGAAAAAAATCTCTGTGAGCGTAATCCAGCCCGCATGTTTCCCCAGTTCAAACTTTATCACACATCCACCCTGCCTGCTTCGGGTTCCTCCCCTTCGCCCCACTCCCTGAGCCCAAGACCTCACCTCTTTGTGCCGTCTCTTGTTCCGTTTCCTCAGTGCTCTCTCCCCTCCACAGCCCTGGCTGTGATCCTTTTCCGAGCCTTCCTCTTCATCTTCAGGCTCAGAATTGTTTCCCTCACCCCGTTTCCTCTTCCCTGAATGTTTCAGCCGAAGCTCCAATCGCTCTGGAGTCTTCAAGGTTGCATCCTTCTGCAGGAGTGACAAGGTGGGCAGTTATAATGGCTGCAGACAATCTACCCTCTGAATAAAAGCTGTGATAGAGCAGCTGCTGCTGCTGTGGGATGTAGAAATGTGCGTTTAAATATACAAACTGGAAAACACCTTACAAAATGCGATGCAAAACTTTGGGACAAAATGGAGATATCTAGCCTGGCTACTTACTATATCAGTACTAACAGCTATTTATTTCAGATCCAGAAACAATATTTACACTTTGTTTTGCACTGCATTGCAGATACTACACAAATGAACTATCCTGACATCTGAGGGGAAAAGAAGTGGGATTCCCACTTCTGCCAATATAATTATTGGCAGAATAATATCCTAGATATTATGAAAACACTTTCATATCGAAAGCCAGTAAACAGTTGTTAAAAGGTAAGAACTAGGACACCTGGTTTAAATCAATAGGTCCACAGACTAAATTGAGGCTCACTGTTCTTTCAGTCTAACATTCTAGTAGGGTAAAAGAGAAACAAAAAGGGGGGAAAGCTTTTTTTACATTGCTCTAAACCCGTGGTGGCGAACCTATGGCACGCGTGCCACAAGTGGCATGCAGAGCCCTCTCTGTGGGCACGCGTGCCGTCATCCCAGTCCTAGGCCTTCAGCTGGGTTTTATACAACCTTTTCGCTTTAGGCCTCTGCCTCCGAGTGCAAAAAAAAAGAGGTTCAATCAATCAATTTCAACTTCTGGGGGGGGGAGGGGGGGAGATCTTGCAAAGTTGGAATTGATTGATTGAACTTTTTAGTCCCACCCAGTCTGCCGTTACCACCGCAGCCACGCCCACCCAATGGGCCACAGCCACCCAATTGGCCACACTCACCCAATGGGCCATGCCTACCCGGCACCCAATGATATATAAGTGGGTTTTGGGTTGCAGTTTGGGCACTCGGTCTCTAAAAGGTTCGCCATCACTGCTCTAAACTCTTTTTTAAAAAAGGACAGATACGTGCAAAAAATAAATAAATAAATCTGGTCAGTCATGTCCCAAATGCCACAATCAGATCTTGTAGATCAAGAAGTTAGCTTGCCAATAACTATTCAAACAGACTCATAGTACAACATAAGGCAGCACTTAATTTAAGGCTACTGATTTACAACAAATGCTGTCCTAAACCAAAATGATCAACACTGCTCGGGGAGAGGGCATCATTTTTGTGAAAGACCTCTTTGAGTTCAAGGAAAATACCTACCGTTGGAAGGATACCAGAGGAGGACAAGAGCTCTAGAAAAGATAAATCATAGAAGGGATGGTATATTTCTGGATGGCGGGGTATTGCGTTAAAGATTATTGCATACTTTTCTCTGGTATTGCTTGACTGTGTATGGTGTCGTAATGTTTCTTAGAAGTGTATTGCACTACTTCAGAGTTTGGTAAAGACACCTGCATTCACGCCCTGCTCCTCACCCAATCTTGCCTAGCCAGAAAGACTGGCGAATCCAGTCTGAAACTAGTCTACATGCTCAGCTTTGAACATTCCTGAGTAAAGCAGGAATGCTTTCGCTCTGCTTCAGCAGGTAAAACAGCTGGGCCTGACATGTGGTCCAATAGCTGCACTGCTTATTGAAATCCTCTGATTTTCCCCTCCCAAGAAATATGTAGTTTACAAGGACAGATCCCAGCCCTACCAAAATGCCTAGGGGGGTAAGCTGAAACTCACACCTAAAAATACATCTCTTCGACCAAGCATAATAAATAAGCAGTTCCTCATACCGGATCAAGGAGGAAATAAGCTGATCTGAAATCATTTAGCAGCTCACTCAGTATTTCCAGGCTTTAAGTTCATCGTACACTTTTGTGTCCTCTGGCACAGAATATACTCACTATGCAAATTCAGAAACACTAAGATACATCCTTACTGTGAGATGGGCCTTGTCAAGAAAATTAACAAGGATTTCGTATTCTTTATATAAACAAGTAAGTGGTTCTGATATCGTGCTAAGTGTACACGGTCAGCCAAGACCATTTTTACAACTTTGATTATGGAAACTTCTCTGACTGCACCTCAACTGCCTAGGTATAGCCTCATTCCATCTCACCTTAAGAATCTTACTGTTTCTCTACTTGAGCAGAATCACAGTAAATAAAAAGTATTAACCTTTGGTCACCGTAATTCAAGATGTACAAACCAAAGACTATAATGCCTTTGTTTTCTTTTTATATCTTCCCTTGATCCCCTGGGTATAAGAAAACAATTTCAAATTTCTGAATTTCACCAATCACAGCTGGAAATCCCCCTTTGCCGTGTTCTTACACACAGTTTCCACTGGCAATCTTTTTTAAGGAGTATAAATCTACCCCTACTTAGCAACAATTCAGTTTCATCTGGTATTTCTTACCAACAACTGAGGTCATCATTGTAAGTTTCCTTTAACTAGAAGATCCATGGTAACAAAATATTAAAAATTACTTGCTACTAAGAAGACCCACCCTAGCAGGCATCATTCTGCAAAATCTATTAGAGCTATTATTTATCTGCACAGCTCCACAAAAATAGATGGATTTCCAGTTTACTTCCTCTTTCTTTCCTGTATCATATTGCGGATAAGGCCCAAAGACAATTTATTATTTTAGCCTTATAATGCATTAAAGGACATGACCCTCTGTTGAAACAGGTTAGGACCACCTCACCTCAAGTGCCTCTAAACTGACAAAGCTTGCAATGGCAAAGCCATCAATGAGGTCCTCCTCCTCCTCCTCTTCCTCTTCCTCCTCGCGACTGCAAGAGGATCCAGAAACTCTCTTTCGCCGTCGGAGGGGCCGTCGCCGTCGCCGTTGCTGTTGCAGGGGGCGTCCTTTGCTAGGAGCCACAGGGGCAGGTGGAGAGGGGCCTTCACTGTCTGATGCTGAAGATGAGGAGGAGGACAAGCCCCGATGGGGAGGGTCTCCAAGACGGCTTCCTCTACGGCGTGTACAACGACTCTCACGGTCCCGCCGTGAGCAACGTCGCTGTCTCCGTGCTCGGCTACTGCTGCCTCCTCCTCCACTCCAACATGGGGTAGGAGCTGCTGTTGTTCCTTCCATTATGCTCCCTTCTGAGGTACAGAAAATAAATTGTGTTATGTCCAATGGCTGTTGCAGGCACGAGGGGGAAAAAAAGGGAGACACCCTTCACCCCTCACCAGCCAAAAGCATTGCAGCTGTCTCTGCTGGGTTTCTGCTCTTCTGTGGAAGCCACAAAGAAAAGTACCACACTCCTGAAAAAGAGGTTCTCCTTTATATTGCTTTTGGAGGAAAAAAAAGTGAATTTTGTATTCCTTTATGAGAAGTCCTTGGCTCCTATAACTTAACTGTCCACAACTTTCCTTGATTTACATTTGAAAACCCATTCAAGGTTCAAAAAGTTCCTTTTTTTCTGCTCTGGAAAGTCAAAGAAGTAACTTTTGCTCAGGTTTAATTCTCTCTTAAGGAAAATACAAACGGCAACTTCTTCTTTTTGGACTTCCTCCTAAAGGCCAGACCAAGTCAATTACAAAATAATTAAATACTTTTGAAATAAAATTCTTCAGATCGAAACCGATCCAATAACCACTTAACAGGAAATTAGCCGGTGCCAGTGAACAGAATTCTCTTTTAAGGTACAACTTCACCTTTGGGTCCAGAAGGAAAAACAAAAACAAAATAAAAAGCAAACACCAAAAAAAAAAAATTGCTTTAATCGGAATTTTACATCCCTCCAATAGTGAATCAGCATGGAGAGATGGATCCTTGGAAAGCGACAAAACTGACAATCCCTTTGAATCAACTTTTAATACTTGTCCGGTCGCTGCTTCGCCCTTGAAGCTTCTGGTTTAAGTGCCGATCTTTGTTTAAAAGAGATATATCGTTTATGTTTACGTGTTTCTAACAAGCATAATCTAGCCTTAGGGCTTCTGCCTGGAAGGGGGGCTTTTTTACATTTACCCAGAGAGGGCTAAGTGCTTCAAAGAGCCTCCCCTTTAAGACTGCAGATGCGGCTTTCCTGCCAACAATGGCAAATGGCTTCCTCTCAGACAGCATTGGCTTCCTCCCTCCCTCCCTTTGAGGACGAGGGCTCCCAGAATTATTCCAGTGGCAGCATTTCCTCCGAAGCCACGCTTTCTTTGCAAACCTTACGTGGTTTTATTGTTATCCTAATTTTATTCAGATCTCCCGGATTCCTCCTGAAAGGTATGACCTTGCCCTTTAAAAGTCCAGGCTTCAGAATCTGCTTCCTTTCATTCCATCCCCTTTAAGAACGTCCGATTAAAAGTCCGCCACACGTTTCCTGTCGAAGCGTGGCCTCGCCTTTAAGCACCTTGATTTGTTTTTCTTTCTTTCTTTTTTTTTAAGTTCTCCTCGTCAGACAGCCACTTTTTCCACCAGCGGCATTAAAGAGCCTCCAAGCGCTTCCTTCGGCTCGGCTCGCCCTCCCCTTTAAGCGTCCAGCGGAACCCCCCGGCGGCCCCTTTAAGAGCCGGCCCTCCCTCTCAGTCACAATGAGGCCTGAAGACAACTCCCCTTTAAGAGGGCCGAGTTCCCTTTAAATCCATTGACAGGAGCTGGAGGCTTGAGGGGGTTTCTTGTCCTCCGGCGGAAAGTGTCCCCTCTTCTCGCTGCCCCCCCAGGCTGTACCTTTAAGAGCGCCGGCTGTTGAGGGTAATTTCAAGTTGCCGCCGCCCGTCTCGCCCCCGCTCGGGCGCGCGACGGGGCGTCCCGCGAGCCTCTACGCCTGACGGGCAGCGAGGCCGGTTTCCTGGGCTCGCCTGGCGGCCCCCCCCAGCTGATTGGCCGAAGCGGAGCGGTAAGGATGGGGGAGGGGCGGCGGCCTGCAGGGTCAGCGGCGCGGAAGGAGAGCAGCTGCCTTGGTCGCGTTGCATCCCCTTCCCCCGCGGGTGGGGGGGGGAAGTCCCGTCACCCTTTTTCCTCGCTTCGACTCAGCTGCTGCCCCCCGACTCCCTAGCTGTCTCTGCCGGATCTCCTTCCTCTCTGCGCACGGCACGCAACTCCGCCCACAGCGTCATATCCTTCCGCCTCCCGAGTGGATGGAGGCTGCTGCAAAATCCCTCCGCCGGAAGAGAGCCGAGGGATAGTGCCTCCTATTAAACTCCATTTCGGAGCGGGCGGAGGAGGGACGTCGTTCCCTCCACGCCTCAACCCCCGCGGAGTCACTTCCGTCCTGTGCGGGGGGGTGACATCACAGCCTTACGGCGGCGAACGTAAGGCGAGGAAGTCAAGAGTTTCCTCTCCGCAATCTCGCGCACAATGACGTCATAGCCGCCTCAAGTGGGATCACGCCTCGTTGACGGGGAAGGCCCATTGACGCTTCGCGGAGTGGCAGCCGGCTGATGACAAAAAACCCGCTGACGTCATAAAGCGGTCATGTGACACCCTATTCCAACAAGGGAATGAGTAATCTAGGCAATTCTAAGTAGGGGAGAACATCAGGACCTGACCCGTTTAACTGATTCTTGGCTGTTGTGCCTCAGAGCAGTGTTTTTCAAACTTGGCATCTTGGAAGGTGGGTGGACTACAACTCCCAGAATGCCCCAGCTGGCTGGGGGCTTCTGGGAGATGCAGTCCACCCTTCTTAAAACGTGCTGAGGGTGCAAACTAAAACTGGGAACTCAAAGCAGGCTTACCCAAACTTACTAAATTGGACACATTTTACAGTGTAATCTTTTCACAGCAGCAGTTTATTATTATTATTTCACAGCAGACATTAACAACATCTATAGATTATGCAAAAAAGACAATCAAGCAGCCTAAAAAAGACCCCAGCACCTCTCCAGTGGTAATCAGCACTCAGATCAGCATTCATCAACATCAGACCAACAATAAAGTAAGCAATACCCCAATCAAGAAACTGCCACAGAGCCATTAGTAAACAGCCCAATCAAAGAATCCTTAAGACTGCCCCCACCCACTCAGACAGGCAAGACACCAGAATATAAACCGACAGCAAACAGCACTCCTTACTACCGCTAGCACTGATGATGTTACCTAGATAGGGGAATGAAATGTCTGCAAGGAAAACAAGCAAGCTCAGCACCAAGGACCCCTCAGCAGTTTATTGGTGTAAAATGACATCACTTCCAGCTAATGTGTGCGAGGCAGTGTATGCTGTTAGCATCTTCAGAGAAGATCTTAAACAGAATTTAGCAACAGATGTCCTGTCCTTAGTCCCAGCTGTATGCAAAAGTTTAAGCACCTTTCATCCGTAAGTGAACAGAAACTGACATAACCTCTGTGATGTACAAAGTTTAGCTCAACAGTTCTGCCATTCATGCTCAGTTGTTTACAGATTCTAAATAAGAAAACAGTGAATGTAGTAGTGCAGAAATCTGGACATCCCTCCAGCTGATTTAGTGTTATTTTTTCCTTTTTCTCTTGTTTAATAGTGTTTATAGAGTTGTAAATAAAGCCCCAAAAGCGATTGACTATACAGTTAGTCACGTGAGGACAATTTTCACAAATACTACAATTCTTTTCACCTCTCAGATTGTGATTGTTCGGGCTGTTTTCAATAGCTAATTTGTTAAGACTGAAAACAAAGCTAATATAATTTAAATTTAGAACGCAGAGGAAGGCTACAAAACTCAGCAATTTTAACTGTGAGCAACATTGTTAAGAAATCGAAATTGTATGGAATAATTGAACTGAAGGGCAAGATTTGGAATATATAAACCAACCTCCAACCCCATCCGCTCTGCTAGAAATGATCAGATCTACACAATAAAAATCACTGCAAATGAACCCCTGTAGCTGGTGTTGCTTGTTGCCCTATTTCTCAGCCTTCACAATTTTAACTTATGTAGACTTTTAATTCCCAGAATTTTGGTAGTTGAAATCTACAATTTTTAAGATTGCTAAAATTGAAAAACACTGACTTATTCAACAATCTGTGCAGAACAATTGTCAGAAGAAAACCTCTGTGACCTCAGAACAAGTGTCATCAGGAACAGAAATTTTCAAATTTCTCAGATTGACGAAATTGTTAGTTTTTTTTTAAAAAAAATCTCTGATCAAGAAAGCATTTGCATTTGAGTAACATTTTTTTTAACGACAATAACCACTCATGGAGCATCAAGTCCTTCCATAACCCTAAAGTTTCACAGAACAGAGTTTTAATAAACCCCGATTGAAGGTACGCAAAAAAAGAAAAGAAAAAGCTGAAATAGTTTGGAACAATGTGCTTTGAACTGATGAAACAAGACTTGGACCATTCAGCCGCAGCCACATAAAATACATTTTGAATAACAAAAAATGAAAAATGTGAAGAAAATATCATTTTGCTAACTGTTAGGCAGGAGAGTTGCTCTGTTATACTTGTGGAACATGTGGCTTCTTGTGTAGATGCAAGGAAAAATAGATTCCCCAAATGCCAACATATCCCACGGTGAAAAAAATTGAAACTGAATTTGAAACCACACGGCTTGATGTTGCCGAGGTTCAGAAACACTGATCTAATTCTAAAGCAGGGGTTCTCAACCTGTGGGTGGGACCCCATTTGGGGTCGAACGACCATTTCATGGGGATCACCAAACAATGCAGTCCGCCATTTTTTCCCCCTTTTCCTTAGCTGTGCTACTCCCTTTTATTCTATTGGCTTTTGAAAGCCAATAGAATAGATTCTCTTGAATAGAGTCTAATTCTATTGGCTTTCAAAAGCCAATAGGAATTGTCCAGGCTGTCTCTGCCCTGCTGAGCCCAAAAGTCCCATTCTGCAAACAGTGCTGCACCAGTTGAATAGTCCTCGACTTACGACTGGTTGAGTAGTCCTTGACTTATGACCGGTTGGGGATTGCGGCATTAAAAAGGTTGAGAACCACTGTTCTAAAGAGCAACACAAGTACTGTAACTGGGGGAGATTATCTTCTATAGATAAAAGAGCCCACAATTATGGACACACCTGTAACATTTCTGCCTCTAACAGAGGCCCCTGACTTCCTTCCATTGGAATGAAGCTGGATCCAGGCAGGTGCAATGAAATCACAGACACACATGCCTTCAAACTGGGGGCATCCAAAAGGGAACATTCTTAAATTTGGGGAAATATGATCACCTGCCAACAGGTTCCCTGTTTTTCTGTTACTGCAAGTGGCATGGAGCAGAGTTCCCCAATGTTTTTGGCTTTGCAGACCGGCGGGGGAGAGGGGAAAGGGGATGGTTCCGTGTGCGTGGTGGGAAAGTGCATGTGCACAGCTCCATTTGCGCAAGCAGCGGGTTGCACAAATGGGGATGCGTGCGCATGCTCGTCCACCACTTCCGCAGCCCAGTTCTGAAAGGCTCAAGGCCTGGTAGTGGGCCGCAGCCCAAAGGTTGGGGACCCTTGGCACAGAGCAGACATAAGTCATTAAAGGACCAAGTTTGAAGACCCCTGGCATAGAGTATAGAGTGCTATATAAGTCTGTTGCATAATTTATTCTAGAAATATATTTTGATAGTAAATAGAAGCACAGAGCAACAGGAAAGACAACCAAATGTATTTAGGGCAAGATTATTTTTTTTTTCAACTGAAAAAAAAAAGTCTCTTGCTACTAGTTGAAGGCTGAGGCACCACCAAGCACGAAACAAAGAGATTAAGAGTACTAGTTAGTTTTCACTATCTGTGTCTTGAAACCAACGCTTCAGGGAAAGTCAATCACAAGAACCTGGCCCTGTGGCATCAAATGAAGTAGATCCATTGCTGCATCTTCAGTTTGCTAGATCTGGGGGGAGCACTGGCCTTGAGACGTACCTATGAGCTGTCTCAAAGGTGCTTTTTCAAAAGGCAACCGTACTGTTTTTTTTTTTCCTTTGAGGAAGAAGTTTTGCTTCTCCCCCCAAGAAGCTTCATCAGTTCTGGGTGGATGGTAGGGGGGATGGAGGGATTAGATCTGACAGGATGTTTGTGGGGTGGGATATTACATTGTTTCCCCCATCTACAACGCAATCCTTTCAGCAGTTCCAAGATTACGCACCCGTTTCCACTCTGATTCAAGTGACCTCCAAGTAACCTCAACAGCTTTCAGAAAGAGTATTAATGATCAGATGACTTCTTCATCTTGTGCCATATCCATTATCGGACGTTGGCGATCACGTTGGCGATCCTGTTTTTATCAGCAGCCGCATGAAAAAGTGCTGCCGAGTTTTGTCCAAACCAGTTCCTTAGATTTTGAAGCCACGATGTCCTTCTTCTGCCTTGATCTTGTTTGCCTTCCATCTTCCCCTGGAGGATTAAATGGAGTATGCCGTATTTTTCTGGGTGTCGCATCACATGTCCGAAATATTCTAATTTTCGTTCTTTAATTGTTTTGATGATTTCCCTTGGCTTTCCCAGGCAGCTTATCACCTCCTCATTTCTGATCTTGTCAACCCAGCTTATACGTGACAGCTGCCTGTAAATCCACATTTCAAATGCTTCTAGTCTCTTCAGGTGGCCTTCTGGCAGAGACCAACTCTCTACTCCATAGAGCAGGATAGAAAAAATATAACATCTGACAAGCCTGATTTTCAGTCTTAGGCTTATGTCAGATGACTACAAAAAAATATCTTTACACACACACACACACACACACACACACACACCTTGTTGGAACTAATCTTTCCATTCTCCACCACCACCAGCCAGCCAGAACTGAAGAAGCTTCTTGGATGAAAAGCAAAACTACTTCTTCTTCAAGGGAAAAAAAGGTTGTCCAGTTGCCTTTTGAAAAAGCGCCCTTGAGACAGCCATGATCTGGATGACAGAGAATCTCCATAGACATTTCCTATGAGCTATTTTTGGTACCCTCATAAACAAGATCAGAAAAAGAATAACTGAAAAAAAACCACTATTTTTTCCTTCCAAGCAGAAAAGTTTATTAGAAATATAGATTAATATAAAAATGCAAACAACTCCCTCACCCCCACCCCACCATGCCTAACAGAACACAACCCCAGTAAGTCCATTCAAACTTGGAATACTGAAGAAGGATTCACAGCCATTTATGTTTAACAATCCTTTCTTAGCTTTTTGACACACCTTCCCTTCCATTTTTTTCCCTACCCCCATTACAAGCCTGGTTTTGCTCTTTCTCTCCTGTCATTCTTTTGCAATCAATGGGTTTTCTGATTTTAATCAAAATGGCAACCACAGAACAGGGGTAACTTGATCTCCATGTTGTTGGATACATCCCTTGCTGTGCTAAATCTTGATCAGATGATCCATATCCTCTTTCTAACACAGGCACTGAAAGTCTGAGTGTGCGTTGGAAGCAGAATGCGAAGAATGGACACCACCAATTTTGGGGGCCA